AAAGCCCCAGTAGATAGTTGTATGTCATAGCTGCACATCCTTCTAGTTGCTGTATGTGGGACTCGGCCTCAGGATGGACGGAGAAGTGGTGCCTCTATGCGCACCCGGGATCCGAACCCGGGCCACCAGCATTGCAGTGCGCGCACTTAACCACCAAGCCACAGGGCCGGCCCCATTGATTCTTTATATCACTCTATACATCTGGCAGGGAAGGGATGAGGTATTTACATCTGAAAAAACGCTTTTTTTAAGTAACAATACTACTTATTTTAGAATTTTCTTGCATTTTTATCCTCAATAACAGAAAGAATAGAAGACTGTGGTGGTGGTGAAATATCCAAATGTATTAAAGCTGATTTTAGATCCAGAAAAGAACCAAAGCAGTCACTGCCTTCCTTTGCCCTCTGCTCCAACCAACATTCTGAAGAAATCATACAAGATTAAATTGGATAATAATCTCAAGCCAAACTTTTTTTTTTTTTTTTTTTTTTGCTTGAGGAAGATTCACCCTGAGCTAACCTCTGTGCCAATCTTCCTCTATTTTGTATGTGGGTCGCTGCCACAGCGTGGCTGATGAGTAGTGTAGGTCGTGCGTGGGATCTGAACCCACGAACCCCAGGCCGCTGAAGCGGAGCACGCTGAACTTAACCACTATGCCACAGGGCCGGCCCCAAGCCAAAAATTTTTTTATGTACTCTAGTAAATTAACACATTCTTACATTTTGTATTTTCTCAACTATATCTTTGTTTCATTCTTTCCACTTATATTTTTCCCTTACTGAAAGCTTCCTGTCCTTTCTGGTTACAGGATTATAGCTGGACAGACATCCGCTGCCCCTTTGAAAAACGAAGAGATGCGGCATGTGTGTTTTGGGACAACGTAGTATACATTTTGGGTGGTTCTCAGCTTTTCCCCATAAAACGAATGGACTGCTATAACGTCGTGAAAGATAGCTGGTATTCCAAACTGGGCCCCCCCACACCTCGAGACAGCCTTGCTGCCTGTGCTGCAGAGGGCAAAATTTATACATCAGGAGGTTCCGAAGTTGGTAAGGACTTATTCAGTATTTTTATTTGGGGAAAGTGCTTTAAAGCGGAGTATCTTGGCTTTCATCTTTAAATAAACAATTGGTGTTACTTGTCCAGATACTTTTTGACATAATTCAGATACACATCTGTCACATTTTAGAGCCCATTTTCCTGAAGGTTTACCTTAACTCCTTTATAAATCAGTAATTTACAAGAACTTCAAATTCCTGGATTATGTTAATTGTCCATTTTTTGTCATGATGAAACTTTCTTTGACACCATCTGGATTTTGGTTCTAGATTAGTTCTTTTGGATATGTAATGTTACTTGCTTTAAAGATTTCAGAGTCCGGCTTACTCATAGCTTCTTTAAGACCTCCTTACTACATTCAAGCTTTTAAAATCTGTATTATCTTTGCTTTCTTGAAAAAAGTATGAATGATCTTTTTCATTTACTTTATTCTTTAACTTTTTTATCTAATGACTAGTAGTGGTGTTTTATGCTTATTGATCAGAACGAGGTGTGGATGTAAAAACCTTTCTCATTGATAAATAATTTGTTAGTGTCCAGTAGTGCTCTTTTCCTAAATGAATAATTTTTCTAAATGAATGTTCTAGGTGCAAGCTAGACACATAATAGCTTTTACATGCTTTCGTCTTTTTAAGTAATTTCCTGAGCTAAATAATGGGCTTATAAGGAAAACTATAGGAAGACCAGGTAGACCTAAAGTATGGAATTTAAATGTTAATTAAGTCTTTTTATTTTCTTTGAAGATTTTGATATTAGCTCGAAGAATGTTTTGCTTTTGGGCAGCATATTTATCTGTTTTACGTTTTTACCCACCCCCCCATGCCAAATGAATACAAGAAAAATTAAGATTTCCTAAAGGTGAGTTGAGGTAACCATTTCCCCTCTTTAAAAGCATTCTTCACAGAATGTCATACATAATACAGCATATTTCAAATCTAGTAAATCCTAAAGATAATAGAAAGTAACTGTTCTGTGGTATTACTATATATAGTATAAAGCTATATATGTGTAAAAAACTATATGTGTGTAAAACTTCATTTATATGAACTTCATTTCTTCAGCATTTACTGTCAGTTTTCTACTTAAATGTCTTATATCTGCTATATAGTGTATATTTCCCCCTAGTGTCAACCAACTGAATCCACCAAATTGGAAATGTTTAAAAAGTTAAAAAGAAGTTATTATTAGTCATGACCATTGCTTCTTGCATTTGTTACTCTCTTATCTTTGCTTTTATAGACCTTGGTTGCAATTAAGAATTATAAGGATTTTGTTATTGTTATTGTTGTTTTTAAGCATTAGCAAAGTCCAGAAGAATGGGAAATTAGAAATAGTTTGGTAAAGTTCTAATTTCTTTTTTCTTGGGCAGGAAAAAAAGCACTTGATCTTAATAATATCATTTTTAAAACTCTTTATTGAGCTCCTATAATGTGCAGAAGTTGCAAAACAGGATGAATGTATGTTTTGCCATTAAAGTGTATATAGTCAAAGTACATCAGAAACATATAATGATGTCTTGAGAATATACTCAAGAATGGACCAGCATGATTTCAGGGTTTACCCACACAACCACTGAGAGTAGTCAGGAAGAATAGTTTTGTTATGGTTCAGTGGCAGTTATAGAATATTAAATGATAAGCCTTAGAGTATTAGCAGACAGTAGTTTTTGTATTTTTAAGGTGTGAATTTACCATCTGTAAATAGCTGTGCTTCTCCCCTCTATATAAACATTTGAAGTTTGGATAATTCTCATCATGCACAACTGGGCTTGAAGACATACGTAATGTTTCTTATTTAATTTTTTTTTTTTTGAGATCAAACTAATTTTTTTTTTGAAGTTTAGTTACCAATAAGTAAGTCTCTCCAACAGATCTTTTTTGAATATTTTCCAAAGTCTATTCAAATAGGGTTAGCTTTTTCTTAAACTGTTCCTACCTTTTGCTGTTATTGTTGATTGAAGATAGAAATGACTCTACAAACCCTAAATTCTTCCCTCCAGTATCTCATGGCTCAGCTCTCTGTCAGCTTGCTCTAAGCGCCCCCACCCCCTCCCCACTAAGTTAAGCATGATGGGGCCTTTTTCTTTTACAGGAAACTCAGCTCTGTATTTATTTGAGTGCTATGATACAAGAACTGAAAGCTGGCACACAAAGCCCAGCATGCTGACTCAGCGCTGCAGCCACGGCATGGTGGAAGCCAATGGCCTGATCTATGTTTGTGGTGGAAGTTTAGGGAACAATGTTTCTGGGCGAGTGCTGAACTCCTGTGAAGTTTATGATCCTGCCACAGAAACGTATGTATCAGTTTGAAACTCTTATTTCCACAGTTCATTGTATCAAGATGTCAAAAGGCAGAAGGAACCCAACAAGAGAATTTAATTTAGTTCTTATATTAAGAATGTACATACACATTTGAATGAGCTGGGGTCAGAATTTTAAGAAAGGCCTCTGAACACTAAATTTCAAGTTGGAGAGAGCAAGGACCTAGTATACTCTGCATGTGAATTATAGGAGGAAGGAAGTGTGTTTTGCAAAACTTCCTTTATTCTAAACCTTCAGGAGACTTAGATATACGTAAAAACATGCTCTTACTTTATGTCAAGGACATATTTGGAGAAGAAAGAGATACGTATATTGAATTTTTCCAAGTCAAATACTGTGTTTAATACACTTTGACAGCTCACGCTGTAAAGCTCACTGCGTGGAGAGGCAGTGGAGGCCTAGGACTGGCTCTCCCACTTCCGAGCTGTACGCTGGTCTTTTCACCTGGACAAGCATGTGTGTTTATCCTGAAAAACAGGAGCAGTGTTGCCCGCGTTACCTTACAGAGTGCTCTGAAAATGAGAGTGGTGACTGTCAAACCATTTTTAAAAACAAAAAAACTACATAAATATAAGGCAACAAAAGAGTTGTCAATATTTCAGTTAATCATTATGCCCTATGTTTTGAAAAATTAAAATTATTAAATTAAAAGAAAAGCTATAAGTAACCATATTAGAGAATTACACTTATGCCAGATTTCCCTTTTGTTGTTGTTTGGAGTCTTTTGGTTTATATTATATTAAGAGCACAGGCCCGTGTCCCAGTACCACCTTCGCAATCACAGATGTCGGTTGTGTGCATCAGAGTGTATGCAAAAGAAGGCATTGAATCTCATAGAAAAAAATAGCTAAACACAGTTGTCTGTGTATATGATGCTGCTACCTGTGAATTAGTATCCTTCAACACTTGTGTCCACGTGTTATTCTCAATCTTATTATTTATAGTAGTGGCTGTGAGCACAGCAACATGCTAACAAGTTATTAAACTTGTCAGAATGATAGAACTTTTGTTACTAGAGCTGCCTAAAGTTCTAAGTGTAGATTTGAAGATGGACATATGAATAGTAACAGATATTACTAATTTGCTGATTGCTAGAGTCCCCCGATGAATTCGTGTTTTACTTACTCATATGTAAATATTAATTAAAACCAGTTGTAACAGTATTAATGCTTTATATTCTCTTAAGTATCTTCCCCTTTTTTGTTATTATTTTACAAGTTATTGTGAACTACAGGAAATGGATTTCTTCTGAAGACGTGTTAATCGTCTTCAGATATCCTCTATTTCTCATATCCTGTCGGAATTGAAAGGAATGAAATCCCTATTTAACCCACCTATAAATAAATTCCTCAACACCATTAAATTTTGTTTTCCAGCCTTCCAGGTGTGTGTGTGTGTGTGTGTGTGTCTGTCTGTCTGTGTGTACACACATGTGAGTGGCAAATGAGCATATAATTGGGATAACAGACCTTTCTTATAAATTAGTAGGAGTCCTTTTACTTCCCATGAACAACTACACTAAAAACTTTCTTTTATTTTTTCAGGTGGACTGAGCTGTGTCCAATGATTGAGGCCAGGAAGAATCATGGACTGGTATTTGTAAAAGACAAGATATTTGCTGTGGGTGGTCAGAATGGCTTAGGTACATGATGTTAATTCACTGTTCAACTTGCCTAATGAGTTTGCTCATGTTTCCCTATCTTACATTATTGAAACATTCTTAAAATCTAGATACAAGCGTTTATCACATACATCATTGGACTTATTTTTATAGTTTCTGGGAACTAACATATTTTATGAAACATTGCAGTTCATTTAACATCCCTGTCCATGAAATGTGGATAATGGCCACCAGTCATTGTGATAGTCTCAGACGGCTTCCACACATTTCCAAATACACTCTACGGAATGGTGTCACACCAGCTTAAGAACTGTTGAGTGACAAACATTTAAACTTTAAAAAAGCTTTTAAGGGGCCGGACCCGTGGCCTAGTGATTAAGTTCAGCACACTCTGCTTCAGCAGCCCGGGTTCATGCGTTTGGATCCCAGGCGTGGATCTACACCACCCGTCAGCCACGCTGTAGCAGCGACCCACATACAAAATAGAGGAAGATTGGCACAGATGTTAGCTCAGGGCGAGTCTTCTTCAAGCAAAAAAAAGAAGAAGATTGGCAGCAGATGTTTGCCCAGGCAAATCTTCCTCACCAAAAAAAAAAAACTTTTTAAATACAAGTTTTAGGACTTGTATCCAGGCTCTGAATGGCAAAATGTCCTAAATATTTTTAAATATTGCATGAAAATGTCAATATTACTATTTTTTTAAATGAGTGAATTTGACTTTTTTATTTTCTTAAATAAGGTTGTACATACTAAAGAATCTTTAAATGGAGAATCTGGACTGAATCTATAGATAGTCCACAGATCTTTAGTTAGTACCTTTAAGTATAACAAAGAAATAACTTCTTTCCCTTCTCCTGTCTCTCTCCATTGCTATTTTCCATGAACTGCTGAAAGATAAATGGCAGAAGGAAAAAGAAGGATATTTGAATAATTATAATCAAAGTTAATCAGAAGGAAAATCCACTGATTGGTTTACATTTTTATTTTTCCAGAACAGATAAAACATTTGTAATTTTGTAGAATAAATATAAATATTGATGATTCTAAAATGACAAAAATTAAGTTAAATTCCTATTATGTTAAAGTAAGAATAAGAATTTAGGTGGTAGGTATGTGGGCATTCATTGTAAAATCTTACAACTTTTCTGCATGTTTGAAAATTTTCATAATAAAATGTTGGAAAAATGCAAAGAATTATTTAAGAGATCTTAGAATTGTTCATACAAGTTGTTCATGTTGTTTTATTCTTTTGAAGGTGGTCTGGACAATGTGGAATATTATGATATTAAATTAAACGAATGGAAGATGGTCTCACCAATGCCATGGAAGGGTGTAACAGTGAAGTGTGCAGCAGTTGGCTCTATAGTTTATGTTTTGGCTGGTTTTCAAGGTGTGGGTCGATTAGGACACATCCTTGAATATAATACCGAAACAGACAAATGGGTCGCCAACTCCAAAGTCCGAGCTTTTCCAGTAACAAGTTGTTTAATTTGTGTTGTTGATACTTGTGGAGCAAATGAAGAAACCCTTGAAACATGAAAAGGGAATGGACTTCAAGACTCATCGGAGACTCAAAAATATGGCCACTAGTGCTTTGTTCCAAGGGTTTGGTTACAAAGTTTTACTTGGGTGTTTTGTTTTCTTGAAGGACGTTTCAAGTAAAGTAAGACCCCTATAAAATAGATGTTTCTTTTATATGGATTTCCTTACTTAATTCAAAGACCATATTTTAGCTGGCTACATAGCCAAGAACATATCTAGCAAGAAAATTTGAAAAATGATAAGCATTTGGTGAAAATATGAATTCTTAAATGAATTTCACGTTTGTACCTATGATTAGGACAGAGTGGGTGATTGGCTCATCAGTGAAGCAGTCTCATCTTAGCTCTAGATTCTATTTTCATACATCATAGAAATGCTATGTAAGTTAGATCTGTTTGTTTCTGTTCGGCCAAGAACTAAGAAATCGTATGAATTATAAGTCAAGACAGGTAACTGACAGAGCAGCTTTGTCTCACATAGTTTTGCTTGTCTTCATTTGTTCCATTTAGTGCCAAATGTATTCCATTTTAAAAGCAAGCCAGAGTGAGTCAAGGCATATACACATGTTCTCTCACAAAACTTCATCAACACATTTTAGTATTTACAAATGTACCCAACTCCTCATGAAATATATTCAATCCTATTAAATGTAGTCTATCTTTTTGACACAAAATGTCAAGCTTAGCACCCATCATTAATTTGTATCACTGTTTTACACAGTGGTTAAAAAATTATTATGCCTCTTCAGTCCTCACTGTGAAATCAAATCAAATCATAATAAGAATGATTATCTAGCAAAAGATAAAGGTATTTATAGCAAATTTCTAGGTCGCTAGAATAGCGCTGATAGTTATACAATATCATTGTTGACTTTGAGCTTCTTATGGATTAAAAAGGTACATGATTGCTTTTCCTTAGCAGGACACATCAGAGATATTTGACCCAGTTATCTCTAAAAGTTTTGTAATAATTTGAGTTGACTATTTGTCATCTTGTATTAATTGCTTCTATGTGGTCAATAAATCCTTTACAAACCCAACTACTCACTTCTTTCCTAGTAATATTTTTCCCTTTTACATTATGGAATGTATGGAATGAGCCATGTAAAGCTGTCACCATCAATGTTTTTATCTGACGATATTAAATATTTTTAACTTAAAATAGAATGCTAAGTTTTATTCATTCTTCATTTTAAATGTGTTCAGTAATGGTTGTTTTTAAATTGTGAAGCAGTGTTTCTATTTTAATTTTCATTGTTTTCTTTATATGGGGGTTATAATCTTAAACTCTAAAAATGTTTAAATGAAAAAGGAATTATAGAAGCATAATGATAGATATATTTCTGCTTATGTAGGGTATTTTATGTACATAACAGCTTTATTGAGATATAATTCACATATCATACAATCCACCCATTTAAAGTGTACCATTCAATGGTCTTTAATATATTCACAGAGTTGTGCTACCATCACCACACTTTAGGAACATATTCATCACCACAAAAAGAAACCCCATACTCATTAGCAGTCACTCTCTATTTTTCCCCCTGTGTTAGTTTCCTATGGCTCCTGTAACAAATTACCACAAAATTCGTGACTTAAAACAACAGAAATGTATTCTTTCACAGTTCAGGAGGCCAGAAGTCCTAAATCAAGGTGTTGGCAGAGTTGCTTCCTTCTGGACGCTCTGAGGTGGAAACTGCCCATGCCTCTCCCCTACCTTCTTCTGGAGGTTGCTGGCAATCCTTGGCATTCCTTGGCTTATCACTGCATCACTTCCATCACTGCCTCTGTCTTCACATGGCCCTCTTACTTGTGTGTCTCTCTGTGTCTTCATGTCGTGTTACAATGACAACAGTCATTGGGCTTAGCCCACTCTCCCCCCAATCCGGTATGATCTCATCTGAACTAATGACATCCACAACGACCCTATTTCCAAATAAGGTTACATTCTGAAGTTCTGGGTGGACTGAATCTTGGGGGGATATTACTCAACCCAGTAACATCCCCCAAACACCACAGCCCTAGGCAACCATTAATCTTTCTGTCTCCAGTTTTGCTTATTCTGAACATTTTTATGTTGTTTCGAATTTTGCACGCCATTGAAAAAAATGTACAGTCTAATTTTTTTGAGGGCAAAATATCCACTTATATTACAATTTGGTTATATTAATTTAATATCATAATCTCCCATATGGAATATGCAGCACTGTTTAGGATATTTTAAATAGACTAGCCTTTTCTTTAGGCTGTATCAACTGACCAGAACACAGTATAATAAGTACGTGGACAGGTTTGATGTAGGTTATAATGAAGTGGGGGTTTTTTCTTAGTAATCTTAGTAATTCCTAATTAGTGTCAGTTTTCTGCCTTCAAAATATTCTAAAAAATTATCAATGCCAGGATAATGAATGAGTAAAAGTACAGTATATTGGCAAGTACATTTTCTGTTACTCCCCCCTCCCCGCCAAATTCCTATCCTGTAAAGTGCTCTATTTTCTTTTTAGTAGACATGTGATATGTTAATGTTATATCCTTTCCATGAAAACAGTGACACTGTTTTGACGATACAGCCATTTAGTTTATACTTTTGAAAGTCACAACTTTAACATGAAAGTTTAATGTCTTGAAAAAAATTGTAATGAAAAACAGCAATTGTGACCTAACTTTCAAAAACCTGGTATAATAGAAAATTTTGAATCATGAAAATGAGCCATATAATGAACAATTATTCAGCCAAGCAGTCTATATTCCTTTTGCCTTATATACTGTTAACAGCAAAAAAAAAAAAAAAAAAAATTGGATTTGCTACATAGGCCAGGCTACATTTGAAATAAATTTTGTTTTTTAAGGGTGGCACTATTAACATATACCAACCACTTCAGAAAATCCAATCCACTCCAACACGGCACCAAACCAGCTCTCACGAAGTCCCAATAACTTGGTAATCTGAAAGGCCATTTTACAGGTATCATTCAACACTTGATAAATCTTTAAATATCCCCCTTTCTCTTTCCAATTGCCTTAAAAAAACTTTTAAAAGCTTGAATCTACTTTTATCTTCTTAACTTTCCTTCTTTCCAAGGTGATTCAAACTACTTTGGGAGAAATAAAAATAAAAAATCTGTGCTGGAAAATTGAAGTGTTATCCTTACTAACTAGAAAACTTTTTACTTTACAGAGGTTAAGTGTGCCCTAATAACAAAGCTGTAAAATGAGGTTCAAAATGTGGTTTATTCAGTTTTTGTAGGGGATTTCCCTGACTTTTATCTGCCAACCCTCTTTGAATTTGTTTCCACTATCCATGTGTAATTTCCAAGAGCACTTTTTATGATTGTTCTTTTATATAGCATGCTGTTCTTGTTTCATGTTAGCCTCTCTGAGGATAGTTTAGTTTCTTTAACATTTTTTATACTTTTGCTGTATTTGCTTCCTCTGACTTCTTTTTGCATTTTCCTGTTGGAATCTTTCCTCAAATATCTGGCCCCAGCTGTGTATTTATATTTAAAATGAGACATTTAAAAGTTGATAATTTTTGTGTACACAGGTGAGCTTAATTATCATTGAACTTCATCATATGAGGGAATGGCCACCTACTTTGGGGGAGGATCCATGAGAGATCCACAGATATTTTTCTGTGATCTTTAATTCTCTGGAAAATAACCTTCCAAACTTCTGTCCCTTGGGTGGGGGAGGGCAAGTTGGGAAGGGGGGTACTCTAAACCTGGCTGCAGGATTTCTAGAGCTCAGACAAGAGCTCTAACTCACCATTCAATAACCATAGCTTAGTCCCCCTTTTGTCAGTACCATCACTTGTCCCTCTTTACTTAATGTCCTGGACTCTGAAACCTCTCTTCCCTTTTTTCAAGAAAAAACCTATCTCCCATCAGGGAGGGATAGTCACCTCACTGGATGGATTTATGGAGCTAGGTTCCAACTGCACTTCATACAGATTTTCAAACAATCCCCCATTCTGTGGTACCTGGTGGCTCTTAATTCCTGAGGCTTTTCAGCCTTCTCTGGGGACATCAGTGTCCACCTTACAAGAATCTGACCTCCTTCCTCTCTTCTAGGTAATATACTATTTACTCTTCTTCTATGTGCATTCAGTCTTCATAAATTGTGGTTTAAGATTATGGTTATCTCCTAGTATAATCAAAGATGATGTTTTTGCTTGTTTTCCCTCTTATTTTGAGATGATTTTCAAGAGGAAAGGAAGGCAGAGTATTTTTACTCTGCCATCTTAAAACGAGAAGTTTACTTCCTGTGACACCACTCTCCTGGTTTCCACCTACCTCTCCCCTAACTGATCACTACCGAGTTTTGCATGCCTCCGACCTAGGTTCTCATCATCTCACACAGCACTCCACCTGAATGATCTCAGTCGAGATTCTGGCCTTGCCCACCTCTTCACTTTCGCCGAGCACCATGCTCACTCTCATTTAAGCATCAGCCACCACTGATATTATTTTAGGTCTTTGATCCCAGCAGAGTCCTTACACATGCTACCATGGATGAGAAGTCAGTGGCCACAATGAGAGATTTGTTAATACAAGGGGAATGCTCAAAATAAATATGTTAAGAATAATGGGAGCCAAGTTTGTGTCAAAGAAGGAAGTTAGAAATATTGGAGAAAAATTAAATGAATCCTGTTATCTTGGGCTGGAATTGGGGGTTATCAGTGGAAACTCACAGTTTTTAATATATCTATAGATACAGAAATATGTATTGATGTAAATGTATGTCTGTCTGTAGTATGTATTCCTTAACAATGCCCATGAAAGGGCTTGGGAGTGATGGGGTTCAGGGCAGGCTTCCCCAAGTTGTGCCACTTTGGTATGCAGATTATTTTGAGCTGAAGACAATCAAGGCTCAGAAGACTCAGGAAGAACATTTGACCTTACTCCAAATTGCCTAAAAGAATTTAAGGTAGAAGGGCCTGTCCCAGGAAGGAGCTATCACCATAGATAATTCTAGGTGTAGTAGGCAGGAAGGCATCTAGCAAGGGCCATTTTATCAAAAGATCTCTCTCAGATCCCATTGTCTATAGATGGCTCAGCAAACATTTGTTTACCAAATATTAACTCTTTTCCTCTTCCTGTAAATTGCCTTCTCCCCCTTTGAAGTTTCAGACCTCTGTCTCCCTCTCCTTAGTCCAGAAAGACATATAAAAAGTCATTTTGCCTGACTGTCTTTGGAATTCTTCATACTTATGTGAATGCCCCCTGTACATGTATTAAACTTAGTTTGATTTTCTCCTGCTAACCTGCCTCATGTCATTTTAATTATTTGGCCAGAAGAACCAAAAGGGGAAAGGGGGAGGGAGGGAATTCTCCCTCTTTTCCCACAGAAGCAAGGACATCACAATAGCAATGAGCAAACTTAGAGCTCAGATCTTGGCTTCCAAGTACCATCAAAAAGACCCAGGGCTCCCTGGAGAAATGGCTGATCCAGGACTGGAGTAGGGAAAGCGTAAGATGAGCCTGGAGCATCTTTTGGTCCAAGGAGTGAAGAAGTGCCTGAAGAATCATGGGATATGTAAAAAGGACAATAGAGCTTAAATGGGCTCCCCACTGGCCAAACTGGGGCTGATTTTAGCATCAAAATAAATGATAGTAACAGATTATATCCCACTGAATAAAATTGGAAACCATAAGTCCATACTGATACCAATAAGTGAGATTTTTTATATACTTCAGAGTATCTCCCCAGAAAATCTTTATTAATAACAAAGAGGAAAAGAGTAATTTTACAGTGGAGCAGCTTGGCAGACACCACCTTGTAATCAAGTGATCAAAGTGAACATCACAGGTAATGGGACAAATTGAAATTGTGCACAACCTGATAGGTGCAATGTGAAGACCATGGCATCATTTCTGTGATACTCCTACCAAAGATGCCTAATCTGAATCTAATCGTGAGAAAACATTAGGTAAATCTGCATTAAAGAACTTCTACAAAATAACTAGCTGTAATCTTTAATAGTGTCAAGGTCATGAAAGTCAAGGAAAGACTGAGGAAATGTCCCAGAATGAAGGAGACTAAAAAAAATGTGAGTGAAGCAACAATAATTCTCAACTAGATCTTCTTCCTTTAAAGGACGTTATTAGGACATTTGGCAAAAGATGAATGAAATCTAAGGATTAGATAGAATGCATTGAT